AACATAAGGATCACTTGTGTCATTGGCCCACTTATGAACAACGAGATTTGTCCATTTGTTCGCTGTTAGCTTCAAATTCCCTTTACTTATTCCATTCAATCTCGATATTTTTCTCCTTAGTTTTCTTAGATATTAAAACGGATTAAGCAAGAAAATAAGATTAAAAATGATTAAACATTACCAATTTGAGAAATCGACTCACAACTTTACCTTAACAAATTGGTCAACAGTCCTGTGAATTTCTTGTTCAATAAGTGGCATAGAGATACAATCGAGGGCTGAACTATGAGCTCTTCATCTAGGGTTGTCGGAACCTCGTGATTTCTCGTTTAACCCAAACATGTTGCAGACTGTTGTAAAAGAATGTTTAGAGAGACAACAGGGTAGAGAGACAAAAGGCCATCAAGTTAGCGTCAGGAATAACCATCAAATAACAGTTAGCAACCGGCGATTTAGGAATGTGTGAGGGAACGACAATGTGCATTTGTGTCGATTCCGTGACGAAAAGATGGAAACGTGACACTAGAAGAATTTGATCGTAATCTAATTCTACCCAGGTCAAATAAATCTCTATAATCCATAAAGATATCAATCCAATTCCAAAATTTTAGGCTGTGTATTTAGTTAATTACTTGTTAAATTTACTAAGATGACCCCTATCAATTGATTGGTCCACAATTTGTCATACATTCACATAATAGATATGGTTTATATATATATATATATATATATATATATATATATATATATATACACACAATTTGTCATACATTCACATAATAGATATGGTTTATATATATATATATATATATATATATATACATATATATATATATATATATAGGACTAGGTTATTTTGTTTCTTATATTTATTGTGTGCTAGAATGCACCAATAAGAATTTAGTAAATTAAATAATTATTTAATTAAATAAATATAGATATTAAATGATTTCCATAATTATATGTATATTAAATGATATCCATAATTATAATTCTCTTTTTATGGAAACTTATTAAATCCGTCATTGATGTCAGCAATAACATTCTTTCAGAATGAATTCGCATCTAGGTTTTATATATGAATTCGTATTTTGTTTCAGGACTCACTCACTTAAAATAAATAAAGTTGCATGGAATATGAATAATGAGAGTGTATTCTACTAGAATACACTCTCATTCTTCTAGATATGAATTTATTATGAAATAATATTATTGTTGACATTAATGACGAATTTAATTAGTTTCCATAAAAATGAGTTATAACTATGGATAACATTTAATATACATATAATTAATATTAAATCCCTATTGGTGCATTCTAGCACACAATAGATGAAACATTTGAACCTACCTCTCTCTCTCTCTCTATATATATATATATATATATATATATATATAGTTTAACAAGATAACAAAATGAATAATTCAATATAGGAGTCGACTGAGATAATATTTCTTAATTAATAACTAATAGATTAATGTTTACAATTATAAGATGTTATTATGATATTTAACGGATCCAAAATTTAATGACTAGTGAACTTCAACAAAAACATAAAACGTTTTACAATTATTATAAATATGTTTTACTGAGTTTTGTAGAGTTTAATGTATTATATTTTTGTTGATAAATTAATTAAATATAAATTGATGATGCGCCGGTTTATTAAACTCTACTAAATATAGTAAGTTGTAATGCTAACAGTCTTGAATGTGAACACATATGTGCCAAAGACTTATCGGACAATATTCTAGGTTTAACGGGTATATATAAATTTAACGACTTGGTTTGTTATAAGAATCTAAAATATCAAGACTATTAAATAGATTATAAAAGTAAAAATAAAATGTTTTAAACTACTAGATAGATAGACAATGGTAATTGAACAACATTATTTATGGATTTGGGTCAAACCATCAAAGCTATCACAATATACAGACATTATAGAAAAGATACTCAACATATTGCATATAATTTAAGAAAATTTTGTAATAAATGTTTCAATAAATAGCCGTGTTATGGTTACATATTTCGAAGATATATAGACATGTTCCGTTTATAAGAAAATTTGTAAATAATAGACAATACCAATAAATGATATGCTACTATTTAAAAGTTACAGTTGTTTCGGTTATCGTAAATAAACTTAGATTTATTAGCAATCATCGTCTCATGTAACATGCCGTGATATTTCCTTGCATGGATGATAAGTAACTGTATTCGGTTGGCCACAAAAGACTTAGTTTTGCTATCAGACAGACTGATAACCATAAATTAAAGAGACGAATTAACATTTTGATGTGCTTCCACACTATATATATAACATCACACACGTTAGTAAACATGCCCAAGAACACACACCATAACTACCTTATATCCATGAAATATAAGATAACATACCAAAATATAGGTAGAATAGTTTTAGGCATACATTTTTTTTCTTCTAAACGTTGTAATTAAGATGAATACACTGCTCTTCGAAGTCAATAACATACATCTTAAACAAGTGGAACTTCTAATGAAAGATTGCACATAAAATAACCCTCGTAACATTATTTTGAATCCATATGTAATTACTTTAAAAACAATTATCACAACATTAATTTTAACAAGTTCAATATATACGTTTAAGCTCACTTTTTTATGACATAAAACAACATACACCTTATTTTATATGTATATTTAATATGCATTAAAACTAATGCATCGCTCGAAATCAAAGAAAATTTGATTGCTCCTCCAGTTTTTAACTAGTCCAACAAGAAAACATTTTGCTACCTAAAATAACATAAACAGACGATACATAAGATTTACACACATTTTTCTTATATTATACTAATACGTTTTAAATCAAGAAACCACCGGAGATATAAAATTTTACGTGTATTTTTATCATATTATAGTTATATGTTTTCAATCAAGAAACCCTATATCACTAGAATTATAAGACTTTACATGTATATTTCTCGCATCATATTAATACATTTTGAATCAAAAACCCTACACAATCCGGGATATTAGATTTTACAAACATTTTTATAATATTATAAATAAACGTTTTGAATCAAGAAACCCAACGCTACTTGTACCAATAGCGACATTTTCTTTGTTTTAACAACTTTCTTGAAATATAATTTATAGTTTTAGCTATTACCCATCTCTGCTCTAAAGTTTCAACTACATTAATTTCATTAATTTTTTTTTATACATTTAACTAAATAGTTAAGTAAATTTCTTAAATTACATGTAAAATGAAATATTGATTTAAAAAAAAAACATATATCCTAAACGTGCTGAAAACCTAAATGCTTTAAGATTTGAGGGGGAAAAATACATATGATCCCAAAAGCGCGGGAATCCAAAATGAAAATACAAAACCCCTTCTTTTTTTGAATCCCGCCCAATCACCTAATATAAATCCACCCCTTTCTCACCTTTACTCAGCCTTCATCTCAAACGAACAAACCCTAACCCTAAAATCCTCAATTCATTCGGTACGTTAGAATCATTGCCTTTTACGTTATCTCGTCATAATTCTGATATTTTGAGCGTTTCTCCATTAATTTTGATGTTATTCTTCGTTGATTTCAGGATCTAACAATGAAAGGAGCAAAATCGACGAAGAAGGCTGATAGCAAGTATGATTTTATCTATCATTTTTTCGTCGGTTCTTATAGATTTAGCTCTGTTGAGATTTATCCATTAGTGTATTTCTCTTGCATTATAGTTCTATGTTGTGTTCTATAACGTTAGTTTTGGTTTTGATTTAGGCTCACAGTGAAGAAAACTGCGCCTAAGGGAAAGGCTGCCAAGGATCCGAACAAGCCTAAGAGACCTGCTAGCGCGTTCTTCGTATTCATGTAAACATCATGTTTAATGTCGATTTCAATTTACTCATCAGTTTTTTTATTCGGTGTATGAATTTGTCGCGTTTGTGATATGATTAGGGAGGACTTTAGGAAGCAGTACAAGGAAGAGCATCCCGACAATAAATCTGTTGCCGCAGTGAGTATTTCTAGCCAATTTCTTCAAATCTATAGTTGTTTTGAAATTCCGTTTGTTATACTTGTGCTGATTTGATTTATAAACAACGAACAGGTTGGGAAAGCAGGAGGAACAAAATGGAAATCGATGTCTGAATCTGTAAGCAGAAGTTCATTTCTACATTTAACCTCAAAAATCGCTTCTAGATCTATCAATTCTGATTTGTTTTGTATAAACTTTCAGGAGAAGGCACCTTTTGTTGCCAAAGCTGACAAACGAAAGAAGGAATACGAGAAAAACATTGATGTTTACAACAAAAAAATGGTAACAATTGTTCGATGCTGTGTTTTAATGTTGAAATATCCAGATCTATGTTTTTGATTGTGGATTTGCTGTGTAAAAACCAGGCTGCTGGTACTAATGATGAGGATGATGATTCTGATAAGTCAAAGTCTGAGGTAAATAATGAGGAAGACGAAGAAGGAAGTGATGAGGTATGGTTTCAAGGATTTAAGCGTGTATGTTCTTGTAAACTGTTTATTTCAATGTTCTGATTTATCTGTTGTTTTTTTGTAGGATGAAGATGATGATTGAAGTGGGTTTTATATGATGTAGAATCAGAAGTTAAGTTTGTTTTGTAGTTTCTTGATGATAATATTAGCATAATGTAGATCTTCTTTAGCTATGGATAAATTTGGCTTGGTTATTATGGTCATAAAATAGTATTTGATTAGACGTTAGCTATCATGGTGCACAGAGAGATCTGAATAGTTTTGTTGGCTTTTGTGTTCCCAGTTAATCTTGGTAGTTTTTAATGAAATGCATCATGTTTTGAGAAATATTGTGTCTCCGATTTCTGTCTAACAATATATGTGAAATGCTAACATTATATCAATTAAATACGGCCCAACATAGTTTAGAAAATATATACCTTGAATTAAAAAAAATTAAATATGACTAATATTTTAATAAAGTTTGTACATACCACTAACTTTTAATACCACCATTCATGCATTTACACGGTTGAAAGCTTTGGTAGCTCTTGGAGTGAAATGCGATAGTGTGCTTCAAGTTTAAGTAAGGATGAAGGAAGTTTTGGCAGAATTTCAAGCTTCTCACAATCAATCAGTCGAAGACACGTAAGCCGAGAGAGTTGACTAAAGTCAGCATCTATATGTGTAAAATCATTCCCACTCAAATCCAACTCTTCAAGTGAACATAAACTTTCCAGATTCCTTACACTATCACCTAATAGATTGCAATAACTACAATCTAAAACTCTTAGTGAACATAAATTTGACAAACAAGGCAACACTAAACCCACATGTGGATGAAATCTTCTTAAAATATATGAAAGTGAAAAGAACGAATGCCATGATTTAGTCTCGAATCTTTCCAATTTTGTGCATCCAGAGAGAATCAAATGTTGAAGTGACACCAATTCATTTATATTCGGGAAAATCTCAAGGTTTTTGCAGTTTTTCAAATTTATGAAAACAAGCATCTTTAAAGTTCCAATTGAAGGGTGAATTTCCACAAGATTCTCACATCCATCAAGTATTAGTTCCTTTAGATTTGGTGTTTTGGTAAAGTCTGGCGTCTTTCTTAAGTTGCAACAATGACTAAGCTTCAATAGTGTCAGATTTTCAAAACCATGTTTTAAAAATCCATTCCATATTTGTTTGATGCAACTATAAGATAGATCAAGAACTAAAAGGCTCTCAGGGTTAAAAGTTTTTGGTAAATTCTCAAAAGGATACCCATGCCAACAAAGCAATTGTAGTTCACTTGATAAAAATTCAATCTCATCACTCTTTTTTCTCAATTCGTTCTTGCGTTTTACGCCTTCATACTTACTCAAGTCTCCAATATATATGTTCAACAATCGAAGATTAGTCAACTTTCTAAAGCTTTGACCACACATATTGACTTCCGAACATGAAACATCAATTGCAATCCCTTTAACCAAATCACTTCCCTTATCATTTTCAAGCACATCACACACATCTATAGGACACCATAACCTACTCCTTTTCCCATGTTCTTCACATTCTTCAATCACTATATTCCACCCCATTTTTTGAACTAAATTATGCATTTGTATCCTATCATCACATATACTTATCAATGACTTATCAAGTAAAACTTTAAGATTAGTTGCTAAATATGATTCACATCCATCAAGAATTTTCATCACATAATCTTTCTTTTCTCCTTTGAAGAAACACGCGATATCAAGAAAAATATTTTTTTGATCCCTATCTAGCCCATCATAACTTACTCTAAGAAGATTAAGTATAAGAACATGAGGAGTTCTTTCAAGTTTATTTATCTCCTTTTCCCATTCATATAAACTCTTGTTGAACAAAATACTTCCATAAGTCTTTAAAGCAAAAGGGAGTCCATTCACATTGTGAAGTATCCTATTAGCAAGTTCAACAAACTCATCTTTCGGATGCTTATCTTTAAAAGCATACAAACTAAACAACTCAAGAGCTTCATCATTATTCAAAAGGGCAATCTCATAAATATGTTCAACTTGATACGCAATCAACAACCGTTTATCTCTACTTGTTACCACAATCATGCTTCCAGGGTTAAACCAGCCATGATTTCCCGCTACAGCTTCGAATTGACTATAATGATCCACATCATCAAGGACAATTAAGACATTTCTACCTTGCATTCTTTTCTTCATTATGCTTACCCCTTCACCAACACTTTGTTTTCTTGAATCCTCACTTTTCATGATGTCATCAAGAAGTTTTCTTTGAAGATAAACAAGCCCATTTTGATTCACTATGCCTTTCACATCTTCACAAAAACTATGTCCTTCAAAATGTTTATATAAAAGATTATAAATAGCTTTTGCAACGGTTGTTTTTCCTATTCCAGCAATGCCACATATTCCTATCATGTTGACTTTATTTGACCCCACAAATTGTAACAAGTTCATTTGATTTGCTCGTGTGTACAATCCAACTAGGTTGTTGCCAACATGTATGGGCCCATCAATTAGTTTATACAATATGTCCTTTGAGATTATATCAATGAACTTTGACACATTCCTACAAAACCATAAAAAGTAGCACAACATAAGGTTGAAATCTAATTAAGAGGCTGTTTGATAGTTGCTGATTGAATCAGATCTGATTGAGTCAGACACAACCCGAATCTGACCAAGTAAGAGACATATTATAGGAGTCAGGATCAAACAGTCTGAATCTGAATCTGATAGAGTAAACAGTTCCTAAGTTTTGCAATTAATGATGTAAAAGTTGATGGAATTAGGTTTTATGGATTACCCATTGGTCATATCATGGAGATCCCATCCTGATAAGTTTGCAGCAGAGGTCAAAGCTTGCTTCCAATTATAAACCTCTGTTTCATTTGAAGCTTCATGCTTCATGATTGCTTCTTTGTAGCTCCCAGTTTGATTGCGAACAACTCCTGCCTTCACATCATAAAAGATACACCTGACTTCATACTTGTCCTTATCTCTCTCCTTACACTCAAGGATTTTCACAAGTTCTTTCAAACACAATGTTGATGAAGCATAGTTGTGTGAGAAGATTACTATCAAAAACCTTGATTGTTCAATGGCTTTGTAGGATTCAAAACATGTTTCTTCTCCTCTACTTAACTCATCATTGTCCCCATAAGTATAAATTCCTTTTCTTTTGAAATCACTAAAGAGATGATCCATGAAAGTTTTGCGGATGTCTTCGTCTCTGTAACTCACAAATACATCATAACCCGATTCACCAGAAGATGTTGAATCCATTGTAGAAACTTACTCGAATCAACTCTACTCCAAGGATACTACCCTAATTTTATGCCTGCGTATTAATTAAAAGTTAATGAATAGAAGACTCGATATTATTGTCAGATGGTTTTTCTTTTACCTTCAATTTAGGAATAGACCTATCCTAACAGTTTGTATACTTAGATTCGTTAGATGACATGGAGTTAACTACAAATCATGTTTGATTAAAAAAGAAATCATTTAATTCACAAACTTTCAGGACCTGATCACCTGATTGACTAACTAAAGTGGTAAGTTGGAATCTTCAGTTACAAACTAAGAAGCAATGATGAACGATTGTTCTGATTGAAACACTAGGATTTAAAGCAATTAACCGATGTGCGGGGATATTATAAAGTAAAAAAAGTTGGCATATCATACCTTGACTTCGCCTTCGCCGTCACCGTCGTATCAGCCGGTGGTTCAGCCTGTTTCGAGAACTCAAAAAGTGGAGTCCGGAGTAATATGAAAGGGATTACGTCATTTCTCTGATAGTCAATGAATGATCCACAGCTGTCAAAGCAAATGGTTTTTTTTCTTTCTTTTTTTTAATATTTGGTTTTTACTTATTTATTTATTTATTTATTTTTATTTTTTTTGAATGACAAATGCATTATAAACTAACAAGATGCTAGCACAAAAAAGAGTTACAAATTACAAACATATAAAAGAGAAATACACCAATTAAACCACAAGATAAAATTAAACTTTGATCTATTATTTACCCAATTGAACGTAAGAATTTGAATATCATCCACAGCCTTGAGAGGTGAGCATCTCTTCTTCTTAAAAACCAAGTCATTACGAGTTCTCCAAATACTCCATAACACAGAGTATATTAACATCAGCATGAGCTTCAGTCTCTTCTTATTAATGCCCGAGGAAATCAAAACAATTTTAAGCTCATCACAATTATTGGGAATGCAAGGTAGGAAGCCACTCCAATTACTAAACCAAGACCATATCTTCCTTGAGAAATGCACAACATGAAAATATGTTTAACTAATTCTTTTATTTTTGTAACATCCAAAAATTTTAAGCAAAATTTAAACTTTTTCAACCATAAAACCAAATAGAGTTTTACAAAAATGTTTTCAAAATATTATTCATCAGAGTGTCCCAGAAGTATAATCATATGGATGAGGAGCGGTACGGTCAAGCCTTCGCCTTGCCACGATCTCCGGAAGTACCTGAAACAGTAAACTGAAACTGTAAGCCCGATGGCTTAATGAGCTACCTCCAAAATACCAATACCACACTGATAATACCATATCAATAACAGATAATCAACAACATGCATACTGGGCCTTCGGCCTGACTAGACCGCCCAACCGAGCCTTCAGTCTATCTGGATCTATCCCGAGCCTTCGGTATGACTGGACCGCCATACGGGCCCACAGTCTACCCGGACCGCTCGTAGGGTATGTTGGCCTTCAACACAAAGCAGGACCGCCTCAACCCAAACATCAAGCAAAACCATGTGCACAAGACTAACATATGCTAGCATATACAGACATCAGATATAACTATCTCACACATCATCGATCATAGCCATCTCTCCTAACCAGAGCACCGACCTAACCAGGTCACTAACATACCAATCCTAACGGATCATAAGAGCATAACAACATACTTTCTATCCTGTTACCGATCTAACAGATCATAACCACATGTAGCATACTGGACCCAAGATAACAACTAAAAGGGCCGACCTTGGTGCCTTAGACCCTATTGATATAGTGAGGATAACTCACCTTGCTAGTAGCTCGGAATGATACTGTCCACACCTCCCGATATAGCTCCAACCACCTCGCCTGTACCCATAAGTGGTCCACACAATAATTACTCAAATTACCAAAATGCCCTTAGGAGGTACAAGACATCCCACAGTCAAGTCAAGTCTCTGGTCAATGGTCAACAATCCATGTTGACCTGTTTGCTGAATATAACTTTCTCTGCTTCGAGCCCCTTCTGATTCCAGAATTTCTCGACTCGACTCGCCGAGTCTCTAGCAGACTCGCCGAGTCGATACGCGACTCAGCTTGGAAGTCCAAACTGACTCGCCGAGTCATTTCCCAGACCTCGCCGAGTCCAAGCGGGACTAATTTGGACAAAACCCTACCCGAATCGCCGAGTCATCTTCCAGAATCGCCGAGTCCATACGCATACTCTCATGATCAAGCGATTCTGAACTACCCCTTTGATCCAAATAATAGATCTAGGTCCCTAGAGTGCATTAGCAACGTAAAGTTGCTACCTTTACGTATTTACATGACTTAAAATCCACATCTAAGCTTTGAATGGGACTTTACTCATAAACAAGGGTTCCTTCATGACCCTATTAAGAACTTTATGGACTTAGGACTCAAAAGAGGTTCAGATCTGAAGTTTCAACTTCAGATCTAGCTCCCATACCAAAATCCCTTCATGAATAGCTGAAGAAAACCCTAATCTTCACATATGAAAGATTTTAGAAGAAAGGAGGTCAAGGTAACAGCTTGTTACCTCCAAAACGTGCCCAAGCTGAAGTAGACTCTGGATCCACACGAAATCCTTGATGCTAGCCTCTTGATCTACAAGTTTCCTTCATAAAAATCACTTCTCAAAGCTCCAAAACACTCTCCAAGCTCACACTCACGGAAATTAGGATTTCTGGCTCTCAAGGGGTGATAGAGGACAGTGGGAGGCGCTAATGGTCCAATATATAGGGTGCAAAAACCCTGAAATTTAGGGTTTCCACTGCCAGCTCCTACTCGTCGAGTCCCCCATGCCGACTCGCCGAGTCACTCATTAAATGACGTGTCCTGACCCGCTGCTACTCGACGAGTCATAGCGTCAACTCGTCGAGTAGACCTTAAAACATGAAACCTAAATGGAATAATAATGATACCTGACGGTTGGGATGTTACAATTTCCCTGCAGAAGTGACAAGTAACATAATCCAATAAAATTCCTTTTTCCACAAGCTTGCAACCCACCGAAATTCTATTGCAAAGCAACCTCCAAACGAAACAATTCGCTTTAATTGAACCCATTTCACCCAATGAAAAATCCCCCATATGATTATGGATATCCAAATTATTATCCATTAAATCGCTCTTCACAGAGAAAATTTTGGACTCGCCAGCCTTCCACTCCCATGAATCTGCATTTTTAGACAAAGTTGTACCTGCCACCATACTTGACAGCTTCTCCAACTCAGCCGACTCCCTACCACTTCTCGGATATCTCTTCCATATGCCTTGGAAAACAACACCGTTGCCAATATTAATCCTATCCGAGACCTTGCAATTCTTTTCACTTTCAATCTTATACAACTCTGAGAATTCAATTCTTAAAATTATACCACCACACCATTTATCTTTCCAAAAATGAGTATGTTTCCCATCTCCTAATTTCCTGCAAAACAAATCATCAAGACCAATATTCCATTCATCAAGCTCCCATTTAATATTTGGTTAATTTTTTTTATGTTATTATTAATAAATTTACATTTTATGTTCAAAAACTATTCTTGTAAGAGATGTCAATTTTAGAGCTATTGGTTTTATAGGAATTGTAGCCTTTCTTGAAAATTTAACTAACGAGAGTTGCAAGATTTTTACTATTGCCTCGACAATGAAACATTGTTTAATAATATAAAGAGAATGGACATCATTGCTGATTACATTAACTTCTTCGAGGGTTGTCTTCGGTCCAGAATGAATGTCCTCAATTGAAAAGGTAACCCACAATTGTATGGGTTTAGAGTTTGCATTATTTCGTTTGGAAGAGTAGAAGAAGACATGGTTGATTGTCTGATTTTAGGGCACAAATGCAGAAAAGAGTTAAGAAAGACATTATATTACGTAACGGCTACTCTTAAATGTCACATAGATGCCAATTAGGCTTTAACCTACAATATCTGGTTGTAAAGGTAGCTTTTGAACACACAATAAGAGTTTATTAGTAAATAATGTACAAGTGACAAAATTTGAAACAAAAGTAATAGTTCGTTACCTTTATAAGTCATTTTCCTAAGTTGAAATATCTTATTTAGACTCATTTAATTAAATAAGTTGTCATTTCTTTTACCTAATTTCGTTTAATTTATGTCAACTTCATGCTAGATTTAAAATATAGTTTAGACATTGTAAATGCATTAGGCCATGACAGGTTAAAGCATTAAACAAGTTGAAATAGTTTAACCCTAACCTTATATATTAACTTTTTTAAGTAGTGTCATGCAACCGTCTACTTAAACGCGTGGGGATATCTTACCCAAAACAGTTCATTATGTGACACTCCAAAAATATGCCTTCTAGTCTAAAAGATCATTTTAGCCCTAGAGGATGCTTTCAATTTCTAAATCCTCGAAAGTATGTCTTGTGGTCCAAAAGATCTATGCTAGTAGTCTATATCACTATTAATTCCCTTTAGTACCCGGATACATGTTATCTACAATAAAAGAGACTACATAAGACTTTCGTCTCATGAGATATATAAGTTTTAGACACCAAAGCATTTAATCATTTTCAATTCTATTCCGATACAATTAAAATCATTTTCATAAAGCATAAGTTAATAAAAATACTTTCATGCATAATGCAATGTCATGTAATGTAATGCATGATTTCCAGACACACGAGTTTGAGGAGTCCACACCCACGTTTTCAGAATCGCCGACTCCTTACCAATTAGGATGATCGTATCACTCCTAAGGGACTTATTTTCCATAAGTTATAGCTTGTATTCACTATTTTCCATAAGCCGTAACTTTTATTAACTATTTTCCATAAGGTGTAACTTGTATTCACTATTTTCCATAAGTTGTAGCTTGTATTCATTTGTCATTATAATGTCACCATCCCTTTATTGAGATGTGTGTCTAGATATATTACCAATCCAATGCAATCACTTTCATATGTATGCATGAAAATACTACAAGCACACTTTCCAAATGCATTCACTCCATATTTATGTAATGTTATTTCATGAGTTATGAAATTTCTCATATGTAATGTAAAAGATAACATATCATTTCATAACACATTTCATAAGGAAACTATATCCAAAAATTAATTCAATAATTAGAAAAAACATTCATCGTAAAAAAATAACATTTGTGACATGTATCCAACTTTAAAGATTCCATATGTAATCACCTTTGGTAGTTAGTTGTGCTAACTACTATTCTCGTCCTTGCCTTTGCTCTTTTTCCAACCCCCTTTCAACCCTATTCAATATATTTTCTAAGATCACTAAATTTTTCCACAATGCTATATTAACTCAAAGTTTCCCAATCTACATTCCTTATATTACGATTCCAAGTCCTAAGGACTTACTTGAACTTTCCATGTGTAATAATGAAACTAGTGATTTCATGAAAAATCCTTTTTAGAAGTTTTTAAAGATCAATGCAGAATATTTTTGTAACGCCTGTTCCAGGTATCATTTCCTTTTTAAGTTTTTAGGGTTTTGTACTGGGACTCGACGAGTTGGGGAGCCCAACTCGACGAGCAGAGATCGATTTTGGACGCAGGACTTAGGGTCTACTCGACGAGTTGGAAGGCCCCAACTCGACGAGTAGACACTGTAAAGGAAAACCCTAATTTTCAGGGGTTTGTACCCTATTTAAGGAACTTATGGGTCAATTGTGGCCTCCCTCATCGTCCTATCTGTCCAGAGAGAAACCCTAGCCGCACCTATGTAACACCCATGAAATTCAATCCAATTTAAAACTTTTAAAACATTTCCAAAACCATTAACCATTACAAAACTTGTTTTCAAAATGTATCATATCAGAGTATCCCAGAAACAAAGTCATAAAAAGTGAGGAGCTGTACGATCACGCCTTCGCCTTCCCTCGATCCCCTTATGTACCTGAAACAATAAACTGAAACTGTAAGCCCGAAAGCTTAGTGAGTTCCCCCAAAATACCCATACTACAACAATACACATATAATCATGAACAACATACTATGGGTCCACTCAACCATCGGGGTGGAATACCCCAGGCCCTCAACCATCCGGTTGGAATGCCAACATACTATGGGTCCAATCATCCTCAGGATGGAATACCCCAGGCCCACAACCAACAGGTTGGAATGCCCACATACTACGTGTCCAATCATCCTCGGGATGGAATACTCACGGCCCACAACCTACAGGTTGGAATGCCCAGGTCTATTGGCCTCCGCACAAAGCAGATAAACCTCAACCGCTAAACGAACATGTGTACATATAACAGATAATCACATAATAGTCTGTAGACAATACTTGATCTAACGGATCATACCACATAGCACATGACACCATCCTACCTACCAGGATGCCGATCTAACATATCATACCACATATCATATAATATTATCCTACCCTCTAGGATACTGGTCTAACAAGTCTTACCACATACCATATAATATTATCCTACCCTCTAGGATACCGGTCTAACAGATCATACTAGCATAACATAACCATATAACAATCCAAAGGGCCGACCTTGGTGCCTTAGACCCTTGAGTATAGTGAGGATAACTCACCTCGCACGTAGCTCGGAAGGTAGTGTCAAACTCCTCCAGATGTAGCTCCAACTCTAACAACTATATTCACCAATGTCCTTTGCTATCAATATTTAATTTATCAAAATACCCTCAGAAGTCAACTGGTCAACCCCTGGTCAAAGTCAAAGTCAAATGTCACGGTCAACAGTCCATGTTGACCTCAACTCGTCGAGTACCCTTATCTACTCGCCGAGTTCCTTGCATAACTTGCCAACTCACCGAGTCACTCGTCTGACACGCCGAGCCTAAGGCAATCTTCATCGGACTCGCCGAGTCGTTCATACAACTCACCGAGTCCCTTCTGTCCTTCATCCATACAGATGCTTTTTAAGCCCTGCTAAGGCTCCATACTGTAGATCCAAGCTCCTAGGGCATGTTTATCACCTAAAGTTGCAAACTTTACGTGCATGCAAGGTGCTAATGACTTAAATCAAGCTAAAGAAGAGGTTCTAGGCAAAAGAGCTTCACCAACATGCTAAAGACTGAGACTTTATGATGATAAGAGACAAGATGAGCCTAGATCTGAAGTTGCAATTTTAGATCTTGGTTTATCACTCGAAATGTAACACCAAATGCCCAAAATGGTCCCAAAACTCAAATATAAAAGGGATCTAGCTAGAAGAAGCTCAAGGTGATGACTTGATACCTTCAAATGATGATAAACCAAGGTAGTCTTCAGATCCCCAACTGTTCCTTGCTCAAAGCTTCTTGATATTCAAGACTTTCCTCACCAAGATCCACCTTTCAAGCTTAAACACACAAGTATGGAGAGAAAATGGAGATTTAGGGTTTCTGGACTCACAAGTGCTGTAAGGGAAGGCTAAGGGGGCAAAGGATCCTTTAAATAAGGTGCAAAACCCCAGGGATTAGGGTTTCACCCTCCAACTCCAACTCGTCGAGTCACTCTTCCGACTCGGCGAGTTGGTCACTTAAATACGTGGCACAATCCCGCTCCTACTCGACGAGTCAGGGCACCCACTCATCGAGTAGACCTTGAAACTTGAAATTTAAAGTCATACTATCAATACCTGAGAATCAGGGCGTTACAATTCTCCCCCACTTGAACTAGACTTCGCCCTCGAAGTCTGCTGCGGTGAACAACTCCGGATAGTGCTCCCGTATCTCAGCCTCGGGCTCCCACGTCCATTCGGATCCCTTCCGATGCTCCCACTGTACCTTCACCAAAGGTATCTCCTTGTTCCGTAGAATCTTCAACTTCCTCTCTAGTCTGGCCACGGGCCTCTCAACATAGTTCAGGCGCTCATCGACCTGAATGTCATCCAAGGATACCACCCCCTCCTGGTCCATAACACACTTTCGCAATTGCGAAATGTGGAAAGTGTTGTGAATCCGAATAAGCTTCTCCGGAAGCTCTAGCCTGTATGCCACCTTGCCAATCCTGGAAACAATCCTGAACGGCCCAATATATCGGGGACCCAATTTTCCCTTCTTCCTGAAGCGGATCACACACTTCCAGGGCGAGACCTTCAGGAGTACCATACCACCGACCTGAAACTCTAACTCGGATCGGCGCCGGTCGGCGTAACTCTTCTGCCGACTCTGAGCGGTCTGCAGCCGCTGCCTAATCTGCTGAATCTTCTCGGTAGTCTGCAAGACTACCTCCGTCCGACCTATCA